TGCTCTTTCATTCAACAAATAATTATTAGAACCTTCTATATACCAGGTATTTTGTTAGGAACTTGGGATGAAACAGCAAAGGGCTGGGCATGTAGATAGAGGAATACAACCAGGGATCAAATCACAAAGGCGCCAATCCACACACAGAGCACTTTGTAGTTTCCCCTTATTTCAATCCGTTTAACATAACAGAATTACAGCTTGATGGATGGACAGGATTCGCAGTTAGCTAAAGAAGGAAAGAGATCTCAGAAAGAGACCATTAAAGCAAAGGCTAGGGGTATGAATAGCAAGGTCCAATCAATCCTCAGCACCAAAAGATAAGAAACAGAAAGACTGAGACAGGTAAAGACAGGCAGACAGGCACTTTAATTTCACTTGATCTTAGATAGAAATTTTAGTTACTACTAAGAAAGTAGCATATAATGCCAGAATTCAGTATACATCACAGTCCTCTTGAAGGTTTGTTAAAACACAGATTGCTAGGGCCCACACATAAAATTTCTGATTCAAGAGATATGAAGTGAGGCCCAAGAATGTTCAAGTCCCCAGGTGATGTTGATAATGCTGGTCCAAAGACTGCACTTGAAAAATTAATACTATGTCTGGTGCCATATGAAGCAAAAATGGCCTGATTCATTATTCACAAATTGCCAAACTGATGGCTTGTGTTCCTGTGCTTCTGATAATATTCAGGATAGAGAAGAAGAGAGTTCTGAGCTAAAAGGCTGCTGTTCAATATAGAAAAGAGAACATTTAGAGCTTGGAACATAATGCTGAGTTTATTACCATATGCTGTTTCTTTTTTATGACACATAAGCAAGTAAGACATTTAAAAAATTTTCCAAACCATATTCTGTCAAGCAAGATGTGAGAAAACAAACCTTTCCTCATAGTGAGAATGTCAAATGGCAGCACCTTTCTGCACAGCAATTTATTAATGTGTGTAACATTCTAGGTATATATTATCTGATTTAGCCATTTACTGCTAGAAAATTATCATATGGAATGAATTAGGGATGTACTATGAAAATATATGAAAATATAAGCACAACACATGGAACCTCATCATAAACATAACTTACAAATACTCAAACTGTAGAGGGGCTAAAGGGAGGGCAGGGACAAGGGAAAAAAATGAGAACCAAGACCTGTTATGTAAAGGTACAAGATCCCAATGATGAATGTAACTGTGCTGTATCCCTAAAATGTACCAATAGACTCAATGAGAGAAAAAAAAACCTCAAACTGTAGACAGCCTGATAGTCCAGCAATGAGAAATTGGATACTGTAGAGAGCACTGCTGTGGAAATCTTAGTCGTAAAAACTAAATATGAAGAGAAGTAGATACAACTCTTATTCATGTTTACATTTCTTTCTCTTCCTTTTCTTCTCCTCCTCCCTCTTTTTCTGCTCCTCCCTTTCTCTTTCTCCTCCTTCTTCCTCTCCTTCTCCTCCTCACTCTCCCTTTCTCCTTCTCCAACCAAAATCATAGAGTCATAATATTAGATATAAACTAGTCTAGTTATTAAAAGGGGGCCCTAAACACTGCACTAGCCCTTGCTGGAAGTCTGTAGCTACACTTATAATTTATATTCATAAAGTTTTTACTATCAATCTCACTAGCTGTGCCAAAAATGGGTCCTTCAACTGCTCTTAGAATATTTGCATTGTTATTTGAGTATACTTTCAAGTACCTCTTCAATGAAGATTTGGCTCCTGGTACAGGTATGTCTATAAAGGAAAAATGGTGATATAAATACTCTACTTACATTATTGTTTTCATATTATAAACTTTCTGTTTTCTGCTTCAGACTTCCTATATTTCTATTACCTAGAGCCAGTCATTATGAAATGTCTTGGGTCTTCAAGACAGAGCCCTAGAATAAAAATTGTAATGACCCAATGGTCAAAAGATAGATATCTTTAGTATATTCATTTGTCATTGTGTAATTAAAATAAGAGGATATTAGACTTCTTATTGACAAAACAAGGAGGAGCCCATATACTCTTAAACTTCAACTTTATATTTGGGCAAACATCTCAAAATAAATAGAAGTCAATATTAAAGACAAAAACCTTATGCCAAATGTTACTGACTTCCACAATTTTTTGATGCCACTATTCATCAATATTTTACTGTCAATTTCTGGCTAGGCCTGTTAAAAAAGTTTATAAAATAAAGCTCATGTGTCAATGACTTGCTAATATCTCTCTCCTCCTTTCCAAACAAAAGATTATCATTCATTAAACAGCAAAATGAATCTTCTTTATCTCCTTTATATCAGTCAGGATGAGGCTTTTTTAACTAAAAAGTGAATCTTTATTGGTACATTTTAGATATTAGTATGTGGTCTATTTTGGAGAATGACCCATGTGCAGCCAAAAAGAATGTATATTCTGATTTTGTGGCATGGAACATTCTGTAGATGTCTGTTAACTCCATTTGTTCAAAAGCTTGATAAAGTTATAGTGTTTGTTGATTTTTTTGTCTAGATGACCTGTCTAGTTATGATAGTGGGGTATTGAGGTCCCCCACTTCAATTGTATTAGTGCTTATTTGGTTTTTCATGTCCCTTAATATTTCTTTTGTGTAGTTGGGGGCATTAGAATTTGGCATATATATTTATGATTGTCATCTCTTCCTCTTGACTTGTTCCCTTTACAAGGATGTAGTGACCTTCTTATCTCTTAGTTTTGGTTTGAAATTTCCTTTCTCTGCAAATAAGATAGCTACCCCTGCTTTTTTCTGGGTTCCTGTTGCATAGAGAGCTGTTTTCTATCATTTTACATGCAGCCTATGAATTTCTTTGTGTATTGTTGGTTTGTGTACAGCATATTGTTGGATTTTGCTTAATCCATTCTGCCAGTCTATTTCTTTTGATTGTTGAATTGAGGACATTAACACTGATGGTTATAACTGATATGTACTGACTTATCATCATCGTGATTATACCATTGTTCACTCTTTTTATTATTTTCCCCCTCACTTTAATTTCTTGCTTTGCCTGCTGCATTTGCTCTGTTCAGCCTCATGGAGTTGTGATTTTCATTGTCTTTTTCTAGGATATTGTTTAGAAGTGTTTAGAGTTCTGGTTTGGTACTCATGAAGTTTCTCAGGTGTTCAATGTCATCAAAGTATCTTATTTACCAATGAATTTTGAAAGATAGCTTACAGGATACATCAGTCTAGGTTGGAGGTTATTTTCTTTCAGGGTTTCAAATATGTCACTCTAGGCTCTCCTTGACTTGAGGGCTTGTGTTGAAAAGTCTGCTGTGATTCTGACTGGCTTTCCTTTGCATGTGATTTTTCTCTAACTGCTTGTAGTATTTTCTTCTATTAGATTTCTGGGATCTTTATTATTATATGTCAAGGGTAGATGTTTCTTGATCATGGATAGTTGGAGTCCTACAAGCCTCACTTCTTTTGTTCTGTTTGGGAGGTTCTCTGTTATTAATTTGAAGGTTTTTTTTATGTCATTTGTACTTTCTCCTGCTTTTTTATGGACTCCTATCAGTCTTATATTATTATTCTTTGTATCTAGGAGCTGTTGGATTGATTTCTCATGTTCCCTTGCTATTTTTAAGAGAATATTTTCATGGTCACTTGTCTCCATCCTGTCTTCTATATCTGCTATCCTGCCTTCAGATTGTCCAATTCTGCTATGTAAATGTTCAATATTCTTAGGAAATTGTACATGTTACTTTAAACTCCCCCATTTTACTCCTTACTCCCGGGTTTTTCCCAACTTAAGTTTCATTTTCCTCCCTGAGTTGAGTTCTTCCCAGAAATGAGGCCAACATCTGATAAGGGACTTCTGCAGGACTAAGACCTTATAAGGCAATGTGGCCTGCGATAGGTTAAAAAACAGCTTATTCCTCCTAATTGCAAAACTCCCACCCAAGACCCTATAAATGAGCCAACACTCCTTCCCTTGCCGCCGCCTCCCCTTCGCCTCCCCTTCTTCGCCTCCGGCCTTTGTGCCTAGCCTGATTCCCTTCAATAAAGACCTCCTGCCGGACCTCTTGGTGTGTGAGTGACCTGATTGGGAGGGCGCGCCCAAAGGGGCACGCGCGACCCCTTTCAAATATAGTTTTCAATCTTCTGGATATCTGTTTGAATCTGTTTCATGGATTACATTTCTTTCCTATGTTGGGCATTCATGGTTTCCATTTTTTTCCTATACTGGGCATGCATGGCTTCTATCATGGTCCTGAGCTCATGTATTTTTTTATCTGTTCCTATTCTAGAGTTTCTAATCATGTCATTCATTCTGTTCACCAACTCTGTATTTATGTGGGAAATAATTTGTTTTGAATTTTTCTAGAGCCTCTTTCATCTGTTTTGTTACTTCCTATGTTATCAGTTCAGGGTGTCCAGGTGGTGGATCATCAGACTTTTCCACCTCCTTTCCCCCAAGAATTTTCCCTTGGTAAGCTGGAAGTCTGTGTTTGTGCTTGGGCCTTGATTGAATGCCTTCCCATTTTTATTTTTGTTTTTGGTACTGTCCTTCTTTTGATACCTGGGTTAATACTTTGATTTTCCTATTATAGCTTATCTTTAGGTTTTGAGTCTCTAGTTACTCTGAGGCAATCTCTTTTTCATTATACCAGGAAGAACAACTGACTAGATCAATCACAACATCTTAGTTTAAGTGATACAATCAACAACACAAAAGTATTAAGCACAGCTTAGAAAATGACAATTTGTGATAGTTATTAATCTATCACCTTTACCTGTGTGAATTAAATGAAAATCGAGGTTAGAGATCAGGAAAATGGCTTTTATGACCCCCCTGTGCTTCTGTGGTATGAATACAGGTACTAGCACAGTCGGGGGGCGGGTTGGCTGCCTTGCAGGTCTGTTACTGAAGTCCCCGGCTCAGGGAGAGCTGCAGGCCAGCTCTAGGCAGTTCTGGCTCCCACTGGTCAGGAAGAGACTTTTGATCCCTGGATAGGCAGAATCAATACCTTTCCTCAGCCTGAAGCTGTTATACAAAGAAGATTTGGGCCTTTTGCACTCCCTTAAAAATGTAGGATCGTGGGCAGGTGATTTAGCTCAGTGGTTCTGCTGCCTGCCACACAAGCACGAGGTCCCAAATTCATAAACCCAAAAAAAAAAAAAAAAAAAAAAAAAAAAAAAAAAGCAGGATCAAAGTCTGCACTTGATCTTAGCCAAAAGGCCGAGAAGCGATAGGATCAAAGTCTTTGGTGGGGGGATGAAGTATAATAGAAAAAAATAAAATAACAAGAAAAGATAGGCAGAAAGAAGACAAACAAATTGTAACTAAAAATAGTACTTTTAAAAAAAGACTATAATTTTCTGGCCTCAGTTATAGCTACCCAAGGTGATCTATATCAATATTCCCTTGGATAAATTTAGGTTCCTTTCCTTCCAGACCCACCATAGCCAAAATTCCTCAGGAATACTTAAAGTCCATGAACTTGCTTAATTGAGAAAGTAAAAAGCAATACTTGATCCAAAGATAAAGGCACAGGTTGAGAGAATACCAAGAATGTTTAAATTACCTGTTTTTAAAAAATCTGGTCTCATACCTGGAGAATGAGCTACCAACCTTCCAGGGGATAGACCACCTTTTCCTGGGGTTTCCACCCCCTCAAGAGAAGTGATATAAACAATAATGTTTCCCGTTCCAGAAAATAAGCACCTCTCTCCTGAGTTCCCATGCTCTTTCTTCGTGTATCTTTTAACTTCTGCCTAATAAAACCTTTTCCACGCTACTTACTATTCCTGAAAATCTTTTTTTAGCAACAAGAGTTAGCAAAACTGCAAACTTATTTTACAAAAAGTGTGTGGGTTAGGTTTCTTATCTTGGCTTCAGGAACCTCTTAGACCCCACCTGATGACAGCACCACCAAACAAACAAAAAAAAGCACTTCATACAAATGACATCAGGACAAATGGAGAACATTTTCTTCCTCTATTTTCAAGATTAGGACTTTGGCCGGGCATGGTGGCGCACACCTGAAATCCCAGCACTCGGGAGGCTGAGGCAGGAGGATTGCTGTGAGTTCAAGACCAGCCTGGGCTACATAGTGAGTTCCAGGTCAGTCTCAACTACACAGTGAGACCCTGTCTCAAAACAAAACAAAACAAAGATTAGGACTTTGCAGCAAACTGTAGCAAAGTCTATAAATGAAACGGACAGTTATTTTGACTCTCAGCTCAATGTTAGGAGTCTTTACTGTTTTGGTTTAGAAATGCATGCCAGAATAGACTCCAACTTTTCCTCTATCTTTATACTGTATTTCATTTTCCTTGTAGAAGTAACTATTAAATGTGAGGACAGAATTTATGAAATTAGGTTAAAAAAATCAGTCTTTCATGCAAGTGCCAGATAACAACAAACTCACCATTTTCAGTGTACTCCAACAACAGGCTTAACTGGATACAGGAACTGAGCTCCAAATTACACTTTGGTAATCTGTCTGTAGCAGGATCTCTATTACTTTGAGCCACAAGTATCAGTGAATCGGAAAATAATCACACTTATATTCAAGCTTTATTTGTTTCATGGGTTCACAAAAAATGAAAGAGGAGTTTTAAATTCTTACACATCATCTCAAAAGTAAAATTACAAATTCTTATAAAAATATAAAAGCTAGCATCCAAATGTAATGTTTTAATAAGCAACAACTAGAAGTCAAACTTACAGACTGACTTGTGGTATACATAAAAGATATTTATCAAGTACTTTGTTATACTGAAAAAATGGAGGCTTCTTAGGAGTCAAGAAGGTTTTAGGGCAACAAAATCAAAGAAACAAATTATCTAATGTTGAAAAGACATTTAGTTCTGAAACATAGCTATTTTCCTAAAATCTCTCATTGAAAATCATCTCCCTTCTTGCTTTCTTTCCTATTATTTTATGGAAACAAAGCTAAACATTTTTTTTCATTCAAATGCTTAATTTAGGCAGATTACATTAAAACTTACATAGAGAGAAATACTTTAACAAGAATAGTAAGAGTGTAACTATTGAAAGAACAAGTATATGCTCTTGAACATAATCCACTAGGAAAGAAACTCTGGTCTTCAGGAGTTGAAGGAAACTGGTTTTCTCATAAATCTCAGTTTAGAGAATCTGGCATTGAGTGAAAGCTTAGTCTGTTAAGAAGAGAAAAACATTACTTTACTTTGGGAAATTATCAACCTTACAAAGGACTCGCGAAACTTGGTTAGTAAAATGAGATAAGATAGTTGGAAAAGACTCTGAAGGAGAGGATGAAGCCCCTGTCAGTTTGAAAAAACTGCATGGAGTATTTTTCTGTGACCCTAAAAGCATGAGTAGTTTGTCCTATTTCTGGTGTACCACCGAGGCCACATCTTGGTGCTCACAGGTTAAATGGTAGAATCAATTTTATGAGCCAGACACTGAGGTTTATACCTACAATCCCAGCTACTCAGGATGACAGGTAGGCAGTTCACAAGTTTGAGGCCAGCCCGGGTAATGTAGTAAGATCCTGTCTCAAAACAAAATATAATAAAATAAAAACAGCAGGGGATGTAGCTCAGGGCTCCCTAGGTTCAATCTTTAGTGATAGGAAAAAAAACTTTAATGCAAGGAAGAACACATACTATTACCCAGCAGAGTAACTGGGTAAGGTTCCACAGTGGAATGAAGGTCAGATTTCTATGCAGTGAAGAGCAAATGCCTCAACTATCCCTAGATGTTTGGTGATCTGTCTTTGGAAGACAGTCCAAGGGCCAAGTGGCTTCCAATTGCTGTTACTAGTCTACAACTAAAATACTTCAAAGACTGCCCAAGCTTAACTTCTAGTTGAGCACAAGTTTCAAGATATACCCTTTTCAGCACCTCCCCAAAACATAAATCAGAAACCAGACTAATACTACTCTGAGGCACAGGTAGTCTGTATTTATTAGTATATGTTGCCTAGTTTTCATTTATAAGTTATATACTTTTATGCATAGCACAGTTAATCAGCACATGGATGAGCAGTATACAATGATTAATTCAACCTTTCATTGAAGATTAGCAGAAAATTCTTTCTCTACTGTGAAAATCTTTAAAAATATATTAGCACACTTTCTTCCTTTAGTACATGGGCTGATAAACAACTGTCTCCTTGACAGGTGAGAATCACATTGAGGGTTGGGGATGTAGCTCAGTGGTGCCGTGCCTGCCTGGCAAGCACAAGGTCCTGAGTTTGATCTTCGGTACCAGAAAAAATAGTGAAAAAGTATCAGGGATTTAGCTCAATGGCATTGCAACTGCCTGTCAAGTGCAAGGTCCTGAGTTTAATTCCTGGTTCAAAAACAGAAAGAAAGAATCACATTGAGCCTTAAGGCACCCACATATGCAAATGTATAGCAGCTTGGGCTAAATCCATGTCCAACTTGAAGTTCATTTTGAAAAGGAAGTGATCAGTGTGGTGGTACAGACCTGTAATCCCAGCACTGCTGGGAAGCTGAGGCAGGAGTATCTTAAATTCAAGCTCAGCCTAGGCAATTGAGTGACTTAGTGAGATTCTCTCTCAGAATTTTAAAAATGATAAGGAGCTTGGGATTTGACTCAGTGTGAAGGCCCTGGGTTCATGCCCCAGTGCTGAAAAAAAATAATAAAGTAATCAAGGTTAGTTTATTTGTTGACCTTTGTATCTTTCACAAAGGAAGAATACAGGCAAGAGATTTCTTTTATATTGAGGACTTTAGGCAGACTCTGGTTAACCACAGGTTTTCCTGTACATAATATCCTTATATATACCAAATAGGTCTAAAAGAGATACAAATATTCTTTAACATTTAATGAACAACCTTATTGTGCAATTCTATTCTATTTACCTGATTTCCCAGTGCTTGAAAGTTGAAATTCAGGTATACTCCTTTGGGCTGGTACAGAGAACCCTCCCCAGTATATCTATTCTTTAGAAATAAGATTTCCTGTCCACGACTCACGTGTCTGTCAATTAAGCATGATATTTAGTAAAATGTATATGATAGCCACACATTACATGACAACTTTTGGGCCATTCAACTTAACCTGTTTAGGTCTCATTGTATCAACTGTAAAATGCAGAAGGTATACTCACGAATCTTCCATGTTCCTTTTAGTAGTATAATTTCAAATTTCAAAGCATTTGAGAATCACATGCATATAAAATCTGGGATACTTGTTTGTTTGGTGCTGGGGATTGAACTCAGGGCCTCGTTTGTGCTAAGGACATGTTCTGCCATTGATCCAATAGCTTTTTTATATCATCACTTCAAAATTCCTAAATGTCTTTCCACTGATTAAATGCTAAGGCAGTTTTACTCTTATTTAAGTATGGCTATAAGCACTTTGGAACAAAAGGATCCAGAGTTTCCACAGAGAGAGTAAATTGATTTGCGATTGCCTTGCGATGGGGTCAAGGAATGAAGGGGAGAGAATGGACAGAATGGGAAGCCATTATTAATAAGCATGAAGTTTCTTTTGGGAATGGTGAAAATGTTCTAAAATTAGATTATGGTGATAGTTGTAAAACTATGTTAATATGCCAAAAATCACTTATGCCTTGTAGCTTAGTAGGAGATCCCCTGCCTGGCACGAACAAGGCCCTATGTTTGACTCTCAGCACTGCAAAATTAAAAAACAAAAGCCACTGAATTGTGAACTTGGCAAACTTTATGGCATAAAACATATATCTGGCTGTAACTGTAACTCACTGTTTGATTGCTTGCCTAATATGCACAAGGCCCTGGGTTCAATCTCCAGCACCACACAAAAATTTTCTTAAAAATACTGCTAATTATATCGTCATAAAATTGTTATCAAAAAAAGTAGCTGGATGGCCTGGAGCTCAGTGGTAGATCATTTGCCTAGTATATCAAGGCCTGGGTTTGCTCTTCAGAATCATAAATTAAACAAACAAACATTTTAAAAATAGCTCAGCATATATGTACTTAGAAATTAATATGAAAAGCAGGCTGGTGTTCCATAATTTTCATTCAATCACATCAAAATGTATAGGCTCAAAGGCCTATTGAATGGTTGCTAGTGGGTCTGGCTCTTTATCTTATTATAACAGCTCTTCATATAAATAAACAGTATAGAAGTTTTTGTTTTTAAATTTTTAATGGTTGGCTAATAGTTGGAGGGAGTGTCTATCACATATAGTCACACTCTGTCAGAGGCACAGTATAATACAAATACAAAAGCTGTGTAGTTATCTCGATATTCTCAGTTCAGTTGCTGTAGTTAGTGACCTGAAATAACTATTTTTAAAATTTATTTTTGTTCTGGTTATAAATATTGTCCCTACTAGGAAAAAAATGGAGAGAGTGCTATGATTAATTAACTAACTAAATGTTAGTTTCTTTTTGTCCTTCTGATGCTAAGGATGGAACCCAGGGCATGTGAGGGAAGTATTCTACCACTGAGTTACCCCCAGCTAGGTGATTCTAATTTTTAGTCACACTTTTTCTTTTCTTTTATTTCCTTTAATAATATATGCCTGGTTTGGCCTAATCTAATCATATGATAAAAGCAGAAGCAGAAGTCAGAATGGTTCAGAATGAGAAGGATGTGACATGCACTTGATGCTTTGAAAATGGAGAAGGACACAGGAGCAGGAATTCAAGCTGCGTCTGGAAAAAGAGTGGCTTCTAAATGACAGGCAGCAATGAAGTCGGTTCTGTCTAACACTAGAATGATCTTGGAAGCAAATTCTTCCCCAGAGTTTCCGGAGAAAAGAGCAGCCTGGCCATCACCTCTATTTCATCTCTTTGAGACTCTAGGTAGAGAACCAGCCAAGTCCATCTGGGCATTTGACCCACAGAAATGTGAGATAAATAAATGCTGTTTTGAGTTGTTGTGTAATATTAGTCTCTAAGCAGGTGCATTTAGGGACAATCTACATTTAAGGAGTGGGGCAGAGCTGCTGACTACTTAAGTGACTGTTACGCCTTCAGCCTTTTTATGGTTGTTCCTTCAGCTAAGACCCTGTGGATAAACAAGGAACCAGCAAAGACTACCAGGTCACCCTGACTCATTTTTTAAGGTCACCTAGAGTAAATCATGCTTCTTATAACACTAAATTTCCCATCTACAGGCATGAGCATCTGTCATTTTTTTGAACATGTGATATATGTCCTTGAACTAAGGATGCTCAAGAATGTACCTGCCTTCACAAGGTACAATGCTCTCATTACTTGCTGCAAGCAATAACTTTTTCTCTCTTTTATCTCCAGGTTTTGCTTATTGGCTTTTCAAACTTACTAAGATGTGAACCACTGTATTCAGTTATAGTAATTTAAGCAGCAGCAGAAAATGAATATGCTAGGCTTTTCAGGAATTGAACTTCTTATGGTATTTGTGGAGAAACATGAAAGAGTAGAAAGCCCGCAGGTTTTGTAGAAACACAAACTCAATTTAGAAGACACTGCTTCTGGCACTTAGCTGTTACCTGACTTTGGCTTTGGGAAAGTTAAAACAAGGGTATAGCTCAGTGGTAGAGGTCCTGAGTTTGATCCCCAATGCAGCAGGCAAAACAAAACAAACCCTCTTAATCTACTTCTAGATCCATCACACGTTCAACATTTTTCACAGGTGTCTGGTTAGGCCCATTTCAAAAAGATTATAACAGCATGTTTTCCCCTTTTCAGGCTGCATAGATGCTCTTGAAAATGACTGTAGAATACCAGAAGATGCCATCGGAAATATGCTTCTTTTACATAGATTACTTTGAGCTAATCATTTTGAGAAATATGAGACAGGAAAAGCTCTGAAAACAGAGTAGAAGTTAACATTTTATAAAAGCAATTTACATCTTTAAGAGAAATCTCCATTTGTAAGACTGTCTCCCATTCTGCTCAAGGAAGAGAAAGATGAGCAGTGAACCTTGCTCGTTTACCTTGTGCTTCAGGGCTCTCTCCTATACAGGCCTTTACCCAACCCTTCTTTCTTTGTTTCAGGGAGAATGGTATTTAAGCAAGCAGCCTAACACAATTCTTCAACATCTACTCTTAAAGATTTCCTGGAGCATCTCTCATATATGCAGAAGGTATATACATGTTATTAAACTTGTTTGCATTTTTCTGTCTTCTGTTGCAAGGGCTTATGCCCACTAAGAACTAAAAAAGGGTTGAGAACAAATTATTTTTTCTACCTCAACATCATCACTGGGCAAAGACCTCTAGTACTGAAGCAAGAACTATTTGGAGTAGCAAGTTTACACAATTACTAAAGAGTGAGGAGTTTTTAATTTTAAGAATGCAAATGGGGAAAAATCTTCATAGCACTGAATTCTTCAGTACAATGATTCCTGCATACTTTCAGCAGAAAGGACACAACAAGAATACATCAAAACATTTATACTTATCATAGGAAAGTGATGCATGGAACTCTCCAAAGTAAAAACAAAACCAATCCAGTTTTAATAAAGAATTTTCTGATTCTGTACTAAGATTTTTTAAAAAACTTGTTAAAGATTGTTTAAAGTCAGATTCTAAGATCTCCTGCTGGAGGTTACATTTAATTCCTTTTTTCTCATTTGTTCCTAAGTATAACCAAATTAGTTGTACAAATGTCTATCTGCAATTACCTTGTATAGCTTCTTTCGGTTTCATAGGAGTTATGCTCATCTTCTGGAGTTATCTAAATGAAAAAGAGTTGAGATAAATCATGCAAAAACCATCTTTATTCAACACAAAGTGCTTATTGGCTATATTTAAAATTGACTCTACATTTTCAGTGACAATATTCTTTTTGCTTGATTCTAAGACTCAATTTCTGTTTTGGGGGGTCTTAAATCACAAATTCAGGAGTACAAAGCCAGCAAACAGAGATCAAGAAGTCCAACCATCTCATAAAGTGTAAGGAAACTGCAATTCAGACAAGTCAAATGACTTCCCCTGAGGACTTATAGCTAGTAGTGACTCAGAAGAAAAGTCTGTAGGATATTGATGTGGCCTGGGTCCAAATATGATTTATGGGAAAAGATCATAGGTATAGATAAAATCCACAAAGAGTAACCTCAAAATCTTAATTTATAACAAAGGTGAGATCTTGACTGTCTCAGTCAAGATAGCTAAGTGAGGTGGAAAACTGTATTATTCTCAAAATTTAATTTTAGAAAGTGTTACTTCTATGTTAATCAAACATTTTAAGCGAAAGATTCTTTTTCAATAATTAACTGCAATCTCTTATTCTTGTAATTACTTTGTAAATGACAACATAAGTTACACCTACATGTGGCCAATGAAATAGACCAAAGATAATTAAAGCACTTCATTCAAGTGTTAAAAGGCCCAGATTATTCCACAAGTGAACTGGTTGCAGTGGATCCAATTATATGTAGCTGGTGTTTTTCATAGTACAGCCATTTTTATATAAAGTTCTAGCCATAGTTATCCAAGTGGATTTGGTATTAAGAACCCTGCAAATGCCAGGCATTGGGAAGCTGAGACAGTAAGACTGAGATCAGCCTGGGCAACTTAGCAAGACCCTGTCTCAACATAAAAATAAAAAGATTAGGGGATGTAGATCAGTGGTACAGTGCTTGTCTAGCATGCTTGAGTGCCTGGATTCACCCTACAAATAACGTGATAGCAACAAGGAAGTCTATAGAACCAAAAGATTTGTAATGTTTACAATTCAAATATCCTTTTGCTGGAAAGTTCATATTTAGGTCAGAAACACACATTAGTCTTTTCAAGTAAACATGTTACTGAAGGCAGCTTTAAATCCAGGGTGGATATGTGTACAATAGCAATGCCTCCTCCATAAGTTAAATAGAGCTTGCTGTACCCATAACTATACTGACAGCAAAGTTAACAGAGTCCTGACCAAGAACTACAGAGGAGAATGCAACTAGAATGGAAATACAATTTATATGGGAACCAGTGGAACTTATGGCAAATTACCAAGAAGTTTAACTACAGTATAGAGAAGGAAGAGTAGGAGAAATGAGAATAGGAGCCACAGAAATGCGGAAATGAGGACAGAAATTAGAATAGGAAACTATTGGGGAAAGGGATTTAGGCTAATGGTATGTATTCTTTCTTTCTTTTATAATTTTGACATTGCTTTTTTGTTTGCAGTGCTGGGGATGGAACCTGGGGCCTTATGCTTGCTAGGCAAGTACTCTACCACTGAGCTACACCCCAGGCCAATGTAACTGCTCCTAAAATAAATTGGCTAATGTCATTTCCGTCATTAAAGTCTTTCAATAGTTCTACATTGCTCTCAATATTGAATTTGTACTCCAGCACTACACGACAGGGCTCCTAACCCTCCACTACTCCACAGTCATCTCTAAACAGTTCCACCCATGCATTTTACACTTTTTTTTCATGCATTTTACACTTGAGGCCAGCGATTTTTCTTTTTTTTTTTCATTTTTTTTCTTTTTTTTTTGTACCAGGGATCGAACTCCGGACCTTCCACTTGGGAGGCAGGCAGTAGCACCACTGAACTAAATCTCCCTGGCCCAGTGATTTTTCAATTTATGTTTTAAAGTGGAAGACTCCCTAATTATAACACAATCTTACTTTGTATCTCAATATACAAAATATTTAAAAGCAAATCTCCCTTCATTGGCCTAAGAAGCATCATTTCATTGCCCTAGGACTCCGCAATGCACAATTTGAAAATCTCTGCAATGAGGACAAACTCATCTGACTGCAGTTTACCAAATATGCCAAGCTATCTTTCTCTATTGTGCCTCTGACTAGAATGCCTTTTCAACCTTTTCTGCTTTGCTTACTCTATCTATTCAGCCTGTAGAACTCAACTCAAATACTATATTCTCTAGGAAGCTTTTCCTGGCCTCTCTAAGTAATTCAGGATCCCTGCTCCGAAGCAGCCATAGTACCTTGAACATATCTCTATCTTGGTATTTTTTCTTTCTTATGCTGAGGACTAGGCAAGTGCTCCACCACTGAGCCACATCGCTATCCCCTCTCTGAGAGTTTATGCTATGTTTTATTGTTTATTTATTCCTGGGAGCAAAGACTTTCTTGAGTACATACCACATTTCTGGTATACAGTAGGAGCTTAGTAAATGTTGAAAAAGTAAATAAAATAGTACAAGGAAGTGAAAGAAAGAAAGAAGATTAATAAAAGGCCACCAAATTTGATAGGGAATAAAAATCTTTTGATAACAAAATTAGTAGAATGGTAGGGCAAAAGGCAGATTTAAGAAATGAATGGACAAATAGAAATGCCAATCTGGAAGCTTATTAGGGATTTTGTTTCCAATTAAACAGTACTAATATTTGCCACATATTCCTATGGGAACTTCTCACTGCAAATTGGAAATCACTTGAATAATGAACATGTTTTGAATGTCAATTATAAAAAATGATTAAGATATGAATTGAAAAAACAAATCATATGTGTTAAAATATTAAAATATGAATCATATAAAATCAATTAAAATGCTGGAACTTTTAAAAGTATGCATTTAAAAAGAAATCACATCAATATGAAAATGTAGTGATTATAATGAATAATTTGATATAATCATAATCATAGTCATGAAATAAATTCAATTTATAGAATGTTTACTACAATCCAATATTTGTCCTAAGATGTTTACACATATTTCAATTAATCATCACAACAATCTAGTTTTAATTGTATAGTTGAGAAGACAGACTCAAAGAGACTGTTGCTCAGCTACCATGCTTCCTCACCCCAGGGTTCCTTAGCCACCATGTTTCATTAAATCTAAGACAACATGATTACAACTGAAAAGATATAAAACAATGTCACTTTAACTATGGTATAGCATTGAATATAAGACATTTCCTGGTCTCAGAGAAGGTGAAACCTGAAAAAAAGTAAGTGTGTTAGAAATGATGAAGTGTGGTATTAAGTGGCAGAACTGATTCTTTCCAAGTATGAATCAAAACCCCGTCATTAACCACTGCACCATAGTGCTTACATCTCTTTGACATTTCATAGCTCTCCTTCATTCTAACCCCTTCATTTCAAAGGTAAATAAAACTAAGCCTTAAAGAAAGGAAAGTGGCTTGCTCAATGTCATATATACAGTTAGTAAGCAGAATACTAGGAAGGAGAGCCAAATCTCCGTAATTATGCTATGTAGAGAAATATTGAAAAAGTATCAATCATGGGCAGGAATAAGTACTAGGTATTTCATATAGGAGCCACATTTAATCAATAAAACGTTTGATTTAAATGTTTATGTCAAACATAGGTGCTATGTAACTAAAGATGGAAGTTTCCAGAAAAGTGTCCAAAATTGGCATAATCAATATCATCTTTGCTACGGTCTATTCATAAATCTTCAATAATTAATAAAGATAATGTCCTAGGGATATAATGGCTGCAAAAACATTATTTAAAAATAATACATGTCACTAATATTGTTTGTATCATCTTTTCTCACTTTTGCCTAGCATCCATTTAAAACCTACATAATATAATGGATTACATTAGGATGATGAGTAATGGAAAGAAAGAGGGAAACCTTGACAAGCAAGTGTACTATAAGGCTGGAAACACTTGGCTACTCATGTAGACATATATGACAAGATATGCAGCTTGTCATACATTGGTGTTAATAGATTTAAAACTTATTAAAGTAATCAATATAAATATATACCAAAACTAACAGAAGAAACAAAATCTGTAAATGGAAAACTTTGTCAAATGAAAAATAATATGTAAAACCACAAAGATTCTGAGCTATAAAATTGAAAGTGATGACACTTACCACTCGATGCATTTCCAGTGGATCATTTTTTTGAAGCTTCTTTTCATAAAAGTAGTCATTTTTTCTTTTTATTGAAAAATCTCTGATATTAAGCATAAAGGGTAAACATTTTTAAAAGTCAATGTTTTACTTTGAAAGAAATTATTATTCAGAATATGCGTTAAGCAATATTTTTATTTTATATTTTTAAATTATTTAACATTTTTTACGATGAAAACACTAGAAATTAACAGTGCTTTTCAAATGTACAGTATTCGGTTATTAGCTATATTCCTCATTCTCTGTAATTTATTGTTAAAAAATCAGGTTAAGAGTGCATTCAATGGTAAACCATGTGCTTAGCATGGCTATGTCTTGGGTTCAATCTCCAACAACATACATACATACACACACACAAATACACATTTATATGTGTGTGTTATCACATCAAAGACTAAGCTTAAGTATAAGAATTTCTGGGGGACAGAAACATTCAGGCTATAATATTCATCTTGCTAACATCTTGTGTAGAAAGCTAAGATAGGGGGATTGCACATTTAAGTTCCTCCTGGGCAATTTAGTGATAACCTGTCTCCAAAATACAAAATAAAAAAGAAGCTGGAGATGTAGCTCAATGGCAGAGTGCATTTGATCCCCAGTACTAGAGAAACGAAGGAAGGAAGGAAGGGAGGGAGGGAGGGAGGAAGAAAAATCTTAGATTTAATGACATCAGTGACATTGTAAGAACAGTAAGAGGGAAGGAAGAAAGATGGCAGAGTAAAAACTGGTAGCAAATCATAGCCTTTCCAGGACCTGAAATTGAGACACCTGGAAAGCAGCAAAGAGAAAGAGAAGAACTCCAAGAAGCAAGAAAGATCTGACAGGAATGCTAGAAAAGCACAGAGAAACTGGAAAAACTAAAGATAATGAAAAGAAAAGAACAAAGCAGTCTGAAACACTAACCCTAGCTCCCAACAAGGAGGACCTGACAATGAGAACAAGATAAGTTCAGAGAGGGTCAGCAGTCCCAGTGATAAACAATGAATGGCAGTACAGCTCCCAGAAATGCCTATGGTCATGGTAAGCTGCAAATATAGTGTGGGGTTTCGCTCTGAAAATGACTCCCTCCTCATGACAAGCTAGCACTGGTAAAAAAAAATCCACTGTAGCACCCACCATATTTGGGAGTGCTATAATCAGAAGCCATATTGTAAAAAAGTTTATTGTTTAAAACAGCTACTCTGGGAATCAGAAGTCACTGTACAACCACACACCAGGGATTCTGGGGTCATCATACTGCAGTAAGTGCGTGGGAGACAGGCACGAGATAGTTATGAAAAGGGGGAGGGCTAGTCACAGACCACCTGAGAAGTTTAAGCTGTTGTAAACTTCAACTGTGGACAACATGGTGGTTTTGCCTTCTGTAGTGAGAAGCCAGACAGGTTGCATGTGGTTTGCTGAGGGGGCTGGGTCTGAAAATGTGGGGATTAAGTCCAGCGGATGGATTGTTTGGCCCCCATTGCTACCTGCTTTCAGGACAGAACTCAGTGGTTTGTTTTCCCTATCTGCCAATGTGATCAAGAATATTCCTTGCCTTGAATATCTGCCACATCATGGGGTATTCAAAGGGTACTCTGGTGCAAAGGGGGCACGTCATAAGCCCATAGGCCACAAAGCAGGTAGAGGGTAGCAGTGGCTCAGGGAACAGAGAATGGCAGGAACACTAAAAGTCAGTGAAGTGAATATAGCCCTGAGGCAGACAAACCACCAATGGGCTCCACCCACTGGGACAGGAAGGACAGGACTCAGCATTCACAAAGCAAAAAGTGGTCATGGAAACAAAATAGGATCTAGTAGTGACTCAATAGCCCTCCCTCATATATGGTAGTTTCCAGTACCACATGCTCTGGAAAGAAACTACTGAATCAAATACTTCAACACAGAAGAACAGCAGAGAAACAGCCTATCTTGAGATTTTGTGTCCAAATGCTCGAATATAGCACTGTGAAGAAGAGAAGGAGGGAAGTGGGTCCCTGGGACCCAGCAGGGATATGAAGTGCGAACTAAAGCCTATGTAGAGAGTGAGGGAAGAGACTTCAATGAAGAAGGAGGCAGCAAGCAGCATTTTCTTCCTGAACCCTGACTCACTGCGTGGGAAAGGCAGCTCAAACTTGCAGACCCACAGTGACTACTGGAGACCCCAGAGGCTTCCACTTAGAATCCAATTTAGTATACATGCTGCCAAAGTGAGCACAGGCAAATTGGATTTTTTAAAAAAGCCAACCACATACTCAACTCATCTAAAAGTAAGCACACAGACTGAAAATGACAGGATGGAAAATGATCCTACAATCAACCAGGGCACATAAGCAAGGTGAAATGGCTATTTTGTTGTCAGATACAGCAGACCAAAAGTCAAAACTAATCAGAAGAGACAAAGATGGCCACTACATTCTGGTTGTCATAGTTATATCTAGATGTCCCCCAAAAGCTTTGTGAGGTCATAGGCAGGGCTTTTGGAAGAACACTGGACCATAGGGGCTTTATAACTGATTTGCTTTTAAGAGGTGGGTCCTGGTTGGTTACTGAGGGAGTGTCCAAGAAGGATATATTTCCCTCCCCTGCTTGCCCTGCTTTCTCTGCTTCCTGGCCCGATACTATGAGGAAGTTCTTCTCTACCATGCCTTTCTGTCATGCTGCTTTTTCTTTGGAGCCATCCAGAAATGAACTGAAATGTGAGCAAAAACAAACTCCTCCATTAAGATGTAGGTGTTAGGTATCGTGTCTCATGAATAAAGAAAGTGACTAAGGCAGATTTTGTTACCAGAGAAGTGCTGTCATTGCTGTGTCACTACCTGACTGTGTGGTTCAGAAATCTTTGGAACTGGTTCCAAACTCAGTTTGGAGATTTCAGGTAGAGAAGCAGCCAGAGAATGCTATATGCTGAGTTTGATGGGAGTTTCTGAAAACAGTTCAGAAGAATGGATGTTGATTAAAAGAAGGTAAATGGTAGGCTGGGTATTTTAGTTCAGTGCTGATTTTAGTTCAGTGGTGAACTGCCTCATAAGCTCAAGGTTTTGAGTTCTATTCCCAGTACCCTCCCACCCCCCGCAAAAGGCAAATGGTAAAGACCAGGTTCAGGAGTTTTCAGATGGGAACAAAGATTCCACTGGTAGCTAAACTCCAGGACATGTTTGTTATGCTCAGGCAGAAAATTTGCTTACATTTTGTTCATATCCTGAGATTTGGTGGGAGACTGACTTTAAGGGTGGTGAACTAATTAATCTGCTGAGGAAATTTCAAGGCAGTCCAATGTTCAGCATGGCAGCAATGTTCAGCATTGTCAGCTGCTTGCTGCTTTTAGTGAGATTTACACTGAGAAATAGGAGTAAAAATCCCATTTAAAATGTTTTGAGTTTCACCAGAAATAAAGCTCCTGCAAGTTGGGACCTATAAAGTTTTGGCTGAGGAGAGCTTGCTTGCTGAAAAGACTAGCACTAAAAAGGAGTCAAGTACTTTGCATCAGGAAAACAGCAAAGATCTGGTTTCAGCACTGTAGGAATCAGCGAGACCCCTCCCTTGGCAGGCTCATGGGCACAAAGCTATAAAGCTTTCATTTGCAGAGAGCCGCAGAGAGCCACAGGGAGTCCAGCTCATCCAGGGAGAACTAGAAAAGTTTCCCAGAGTTCAGCCATCCAGACACTTGAAGGCTTCTATAGGCATGATCTAAGGGGACTCAGTTATGCTCAAGTTGGCCACATACCTTGATGACATTCATGTGATGGTGGTTTTATGGGCATGCAGACTGCAAGAATTGTGGGGTCAAGGAGATTTCCTTCCAGATTTCAGAAGGCAGTCTGGGAGGCCAGGCAGTATGCCCCTGAGAGAACATTGTATGAAGCTATGAGAGTGAAACCAAATATACAGTGGTGACTCCAGGAAGTTGGAGAAGTCAGGGACATGGAATGCCTATTGAGGAAGGCCACAGTGAGTGGAACCTGCCAAACAGAAAAACCATGGAGACTGTGGCAGGCAATACCATATGGTCAGAGATGCCAAAGCCGTGAGGTTCATATCTCACGACAACTTGTCTCAGGTGCTGGATACAGAGCTACACAATTTAATGTTTGCCCTACTGTGTTTTGATAATGCATTGGTTCCATTCATTTCTATTCTCCTGTTTGTCCCTTTAGGAATAGGATGTTTATCCAGTGTCAAAGTATGTTGGAAGTGTTTGTCTTTTGTATTTTTACTGGGGCTCACAGATAAACAGTTCAACTTGGGTGTCATAGGAGGTTTTGGACTTGAACTTTACAGCTATGATGGAACTATTAAAACTTTGGTGACTATTAGAGATGGACTGAACTCATGTTGCATAGAGATGCACAAGAGTCTTGGGGTCAGGGATTAAATGTTACAGTTTATATCTAGATGCCCCCCTGAGAGTTTCATGTGCTCATTGGTGGGGTTTTTGGAAGAGGATTAGACCATGGGGTCACTATAGCTGTTTTGTTGCTAGGTATTATGTCCTATTAGGGGAAGCAGGTTGCTAGAAATATGACCTGGAAGAGTATAGCTTCCTCTGTGGCTGCTTCCTTCTCTCTTTGCTTCCTGACCAACATGAAATAAGAAGCTTTTCTCCACCTAGATCCTTCCATCATGCCTTTTGTGTGTTTCAGCCAGCCTAACATGGACTAAAACTTCTGAAACATGAGCCAAAGTAAATCTATCTTCCCTTAAGTTGTTAGTGTCGTGTACTAGTGATCAGAAAGTGACTAAGACACTAACAAAAGAAATAATTCAATGGAAAGAGGTAACAATTGGCACAATCCAACTGCATAAAACAAAAGTATTGGACATAAAAGGACTGACAGTCACATATACAATCATAGTGGGGGACTTCAAAACCCCCCCTCTTAGAAATAAGTCAACAAGAGAAAAAAAAATCAAACAAGCCGTAGAACAACAGGACTTATCAGATATGTATAAAACGTTTCATCCAACAAAAGAATACATATTTTTCTCAGCATTCCACCGAACATTTTCCAAAATTGACCATATCTTAGACCATCCCCAAATAAATACAACAAATTGGATCAAAGC